AATATTAACTTTACCAAGAATTCCATTTGTTTTAAAAATTCTGTCAAGTTGAAATGTTTTTTCTAAAAGTTAGAAATACGAAAATTCTAACGGCTAAATAAAAATGGAGAAAGCTTGGATGGATGGATCTCTTATTTAACTTAAAAGACTAAACTCGACACTATATATCAAATTAAGAACCCTTCAAAACCGCCCTCCAAGCTTCGTTAAAAAGTATGGATTAACTAGAAATAGAAAGAAGTATGAGCGCACAGCGACGCAGCAAGTAAGATGGCGGAGAACTCTCGCGGTTGCTTCACCTTGAAAGGAGTGGGCCAATGGGAGTGTCCTCTCCACTTACTCCTAGCTCCATGTTAACGACCACTAATGTTCAACTCCGTAGCCTTGTAATTTTGAACCAATCCAGAAGACAAGGAAACTAATGGATCAGTACCCCCAGAGGTATGATTTGTTATGGGAACATGGAGGACTTAGTGACTCGAGAGATTTAACGTGCATTGATCACCATTTACTACACAGGGAGTCTTCGGCCTCTTATGCATCCTCACTGAGGTTCTTATGATGACGGCGGGAGAATTCTTTAAACCAGTTGCCAGCAACCATAATTAATTAACTACACCAGAATTCTTTAAATCGTTGCCTTCGACGGTACTTCACTACCAAACATCGATTTCATTCTATCGTTCTATTCGTATTCTGAGTCAAACTTTGTTGTAAGTCATAAAAAATCATAGTTCTGAAATTTCTTCGACATAACTCCATTATTTGTCAACACTTATGCTTTTTCAAAAATCTCAGTAGAGTCTCACAGCTTTTGAAGTTCCATAAATGCGGACGATCACGTAAATGTTTGAATTTGGATAAAAGTCGTCTACGCTGAAATTGTGTTTTTGCTGCCTAATTCTAAGTATTAGTACTTGTCCGCGCATACGCACTTAAACATATTCATACATACTAAAATATTGTGCCACTTAATTTTTCTATTCTCGATCGCAACACTTGAACAAAGAATATATATTCTTTGGCTTGAATATGCCCTCTAACGGTTGTTGTTGTTAATTTACGTCGCACTAGAGCTGCACAATGGGCTATTGGCGACGGTCTGGGAAACATCCCTGATGATGAGCTTCTCACGAATCCTCACAATTTTGATCCTCTGCGGAGGGGATGGCACCCCCGCTTCGGTAGCCCGACGACCTGCGCGCGAAGTCGAGCACTTTACGGTAGAACAGTTTAACGAGGACCAATACCGCACACCCTCGGTCCCTACGCAGACTGATCCAAGTGGTCACCCACCCGCACACTAACCGCAGTCAGTGCTGCTTGACTTCGGTGGTCTGCTGGGAACCAAGTCTTAACGATCAGTCCACTGCGGGACGCCCTCTAACGGGTTGGATAGTTTCAGGTTACTATTTATTAATCCTTTCACGCCGACTGTCACATATACGTGCCAGCAAGAAACGAACTCAATTCCTGGCCCACACACCGGTGTGCCAGAGCGTTTTCTCGTTCACCCCCGGCCGTCACTCATTTGTGCCAGTGTCCTGGAACGTTTTAAAAAATAAAATTTCTGCCAGAAGATGGCATTATATTATGTCCAGATGGTTTCAGATACATGTAGATTTGACCTTCTACTCAAAATGAGAGAAGTATGACTCACATGTTTTTTTTTCTAACCACATTAAAGAAGGAACGTTATTATGCTACACTGAAGAAATCTCTGCAGTGCAACTGATGCTCTGCTAGCAGTCATTCCTCTCAAATAACAATTGGTAGCCAATAAGGCAGGTGGGTTTGCAAAAAATTATTTCTTGTAGTATGGAAGTATAACAGTCTAAACACTATAGGCTTATACTAAGGGGATATATTGGGCTATTTATATCTACAAAATTTCTGCATTGTAACGCTATTAACACAATTAGAAATATATACATGCTAATTTAAATATCGCGCCACTTGTGGTCCCCCAAATTTGTTTATAATTATTTTTGTTTTGGTAGTACAGTATGCTATGATATACCCGACCGAGTTTGAATATTTTAGGTAAATATTAGGGGGAGATATGGTGCCATTTATATGTACAGTATATAAGCAACTATTTCTGAAATTTATCGCTATGATCAAAAGATTAAAATCAAATGATTTTTTTTTTAAAAAATCATCGATTTAAATCAACTGATTTATATACATATATATTGATTTAAAAAGTTAAAAAACAGTGTTTTAAATTATTGATACTTTTATTACTTTCGTTTCTTAGTTTTAAAATTTATTTTAAACAAATTGCTGCATTAATTAATTTTAGTTAACGAAATTACTTTTTTGGTGTGTATTAAATTCCAACACATTTGAAATTACACTATTGATTCTTGAGATTGAAAGTACAGATTAAAGTAAACATTTAATGCTGTCTTAATATAGACTTGCATAGCTGTAGAAATCAATTCTTAAACATGAAATTTTTCACACAAAAAATACAAATAGTGTTAATTAAAATTCTACCTTTTGATTAAGAAAGCACGGAATTAAAATCTACATTATATTTTATTGGTGGAAAATGTATATTTCTAGAGCTTGAGGTTATCTTAAAAAGAAATTACCATAATATGTCAAAAATAGGGTTTAAATTCTCTATTTCATGTAGTTTTCAAATTTCAATCATGCATTTGTTTCAAAATGGTTGCAACGCATTCAAAGCTATGTATTATAATAAAAAATTGTTTTAGGTAGTTAGAGTTTCTAAAATATTGTTATAATATAGTTTTAATATTAATTTAATTTTGATTAAACATTTATAAAGTTTTTTAATCATAAATCAAAGTCTGNTTAGAGTTATTACAGTGTATTTGAATAAAAATCAAAAACATCTGATTTAAAAAAAAAAAAACAGGAACCCTGCTTTCTAATAACATGAAAGTAATGAAAACCAAGGCAAGACTGCAGTACATATTTGGAAGAAAAAAAATCTGCTTAAGTACTTAGAAAATAAACTTTTATTTTGAAAATTGCACAATGGTATAATCCTCCAGGAGTGACAAAATGAAGAAAAGCAATAAAATGTAGAAATTTTGATTTATTAAAGCAGCAGAAAAAAAAAAAAAAAAAAAACTCCAAGATTCAAAATGAAATGCAGCCAGGCCATTCATCACATGATACATCTGGCAGTGTAAAAGGCTCTGACTTTTTAATACTTTTCTTTCACTACAAACATCTCATCTCAAAATAATCAGCATTTTTTTTTCTTCTTTAAAAGAGCATCCTAACAGATACATTTCATTAACAATCACATAACAGCTTTTATTTATTATATCCTATTCTTTTGATTAAAAAAAACTCTTTCCAACCAAAAAGGGAAATGGTTAAGTAAATCAGGGTTGCCACCCAAATCAGGAAAAAAAATTACCTGTATTTTCCCTGTACATATTATACACAATATATATTAAAAGGAAACAATTTCTTGTATGAGCTATACAGGGCTCATATATATATATATATATTATGATGATGTGAGTTATATACATTATTATACTAGTTTTAATTGCTGGAAAACATGAGAGAAAAAAAAGGAAAAGCTGAACATACTTAAATGATGTTATAAGTAAATGAAATAGTTCAGTATTGTTGAAATATTATCTTTAAGTATCAGACAGATTACGCTTTGAGTGGTCACCAATTCTTAAAAGACGAAATTCCCTGCATTTTCTCAGTTTGTACAAAAAAAAAATTCCCTTTATTTTTCCCTGTTAATTTAGGTGATTTTTAAATTCCCTGTATTTTCCAGGTTTTCCCAGTGGAGTGGCAACCCTGGTAATACATTGATTTAGTTTGTTAAAAGCATAGTGAATTTATAAAAGTGGAAAAAACTTAGGTATAGGAGAGAAGAAAAAAAAACTGATCCTTTACCACAAAAAAAACTAGTTTTTAAAACTAAACAAAGAATGCTTATTCTTACAGTAATTATTCTTCTATTTGCAAAACAATTTCTTTTTATACTAAGTATTAGAAAAGGGCAGACACCAAGCAGTCCTAAGAGCATTAAAGGGTAAAAAAAAAAATATAAATAAATAAAAAGTGATTTAAATTTGCTACAATATATATATAATCTGGAAACAATTAGTAACAATTCAGCCACCCAGACTTAATACAATATTCAAAAATATATAGATATATTTCAGGTATCAACTTTCATAACAATGTCTTCTCTCATCAGGCAAATATCTATTTACAGAATCATACTCAAAAAAGAATGGAGGTGCGTGTGGACATGACACAAAACCAAAAAGTAATTATATCACCAGTATTTCATACACACCTAATAACAAACATCCCTACAAAGAAAAAACTTATATTGCAAAAAGAAACACCGGACATGATCTACGCTTTATAATAAGACCCTCCCATTAGAACTACTGAAGCATTATGTCATGTTTACTATTCCATAGACAATGTTATTCAGGGTGCGTAGCCAGATTTTTTAACAAAAAAATAAGCACCTTTTTAAGCACTCAAAAAATATTTTTTATCACTTTCCAAAAGAAAATCATATTTAGGATCTGTGCAGTAACAAAAACGTTTTTTTCCCTATCATTTAAAGTTCTTAATTTAAAAACATAAAATCAGTAAAATTCAAAAATGCATAATCATGATAAAATAACTAGTTCCTGATAAATATTGTATAAATATAATACATATTTTTTAATTTAGAAATACAATCTACGCGGCAAAGGAAAAAAAATCTATTTAAAACATAGAAAACTAAGCACTTTTAAAAAATGTAAATAAAAAATAAGCACTTTTTAATAACGCTACGCAACTTATTATCCGTGATCGCAAGGCTCTAATCTGGGGATAAGATTGGTCCCATGGTTTGACCCTGCCCCCTTCCCTCTCCTCAGTTGAATAGTAATGTACTATGATATTTACCCCTTTCTTAATATTATTCAAACTAAATTGTGACAAATATTTTTTTAAATTTCCACCGTGATTTTTCTTGGAATGTAGCTTTCAATTCAATATAGTTTCCTAACTTAGAAGTTTTTAATGTTTTTGAAAATAAAGAGGGAAACTAACTACTTCCTTTTTGTATGACTCTCAAGTCACTAATGGCGAAATAATGCAAAGTGTTGCCATAAGTAAAGAGTTCTGCTATACTCCACCTGCAGCCCATTTTGATCACCAAGTTTAATGATTCATTACAATTTTCGTGTTGCATTGTTTCTTTCATCACGATGGCCAAAACTTAATCATTTAATTTTTACTTAATCATTATTTCATTTCATGTTACCACAATCAATAAAATGCATCACAGATTCAATGATTAAGTTGTTACGCTGTCCTAGATGGTAGCCATTTAAGGCATTCATAGTTCATTCCTGAAACATGTGGTTAATTTTAATTCGTAAAGTCTCTGTAGTCACCGAGACGTATGTTATTTATCAGAAATGGCAGTACCAAACTAGGTAATGCATTTTCCACCCATGAATTACTATTTTAAAGGGTACTTTAAGACATATATTATTATAGAAAAAAATTTTAAGTTTTCAGCAATTTTTCTGCTAGTTAACAAATTCTTATTGAAGTATAGTTTTTTAAAATTGGTCAAGTATTTTTTTTTAATAAGTATTTACGTGGGACAAGTCTGCTGATGTCAACTTCGTAGCCTTGTTATTTTGAACCAATCCAGAAGACAACAACGCCCAGATCAGTACCCCCAGAGGCATGATTTGTTATGGGAACTTGGAGGACTTAGTGACCCAACAGATTTAACATGCATCAGTCTTTATGTACTACACTGGGAGTCTTCGGCTGGTGGGGATCGAACCCAGGACTTCTTGGACATGCCCTGCCAACAAGGCTATCCTAGCCCATGATATCATATTTAAGGCATTTTTGTGCATTCACACTATAGTGAAATCATGCTATAACATTGTTTCTCCACAGGACCATGAGAGTCGTTACATTAGACGTCAACCGTATTGTAATAATTTATGAAACGAACAACACATGCATACTTATTGATAATCACAATGAGTTTTCGATGTCAATCGTAGATGCTTTTTTATTTACCTCTTCAGTATACAATAAAATCCTAAATAGCTAAGCTTTCCTATATTCCAGGGACTCAATACAGCCTTTTAACAAATAAATAAGATAAGAAAAGAATGTAGTAGAAAACTAAAAATTGCAGAATTGAAAGATTCACACTTGAGCAAAGCATTTGCATTAAAAGCTAGAACAAAATGCACACTAAGCAATAAATATTAAGATAGAATAAAAGAGAAAATATATTTTTTTACATAACTCCACACACACCTGCATATCTCACATAATATATATGTTCCATCATATCAGAGAAAATAAGCATCACAGATTCTTTTCACACAGCATAATCATTTCAATACCTAATTCAACAATGGCAATGATACAAAGTTAACCATCCAGATTGATATTTATTAATGTATCAAATGATATTTTACGGATGCAGCTGCATTGATAAACATATCTCATATTTTTACTTAGATGCAAAAATAAAAGGCTTTTGTGTTTTGTATCATTATCTAATCAAAATTTACTACAACACTGCACAGTTAAAAACAAAAAATTATTGGTTGCTTAAAAAATTTAACAAAGGTTTAAGATAAACAGATAAAACTCAATGATTAAAGAACCAACATTTATTTATTATTAATTGATATGCAAATTTTATACAAGCTATTGCACAAGATAACAAAATATTCTTCACAAAGAAATATAACTATGCTCTTCGATGTTAAACATTCTCTATTGAATTTTTAATAGTAAAAATAGTTTGACCTACTCTTATGGTATTCTGTATTGCATAAAAATTCATTTTTTTAGAATTTATCTTCCATTGGCGCATTTATTTCTAAAATTAACCTATTCATACCTGCCAACATTGGAGAAATAAAATAACGGAGATTTTACTAACCAACACAATTATGGGTTTACGACCACTGATATTCAAATTCATAGCTTTGTAATTTAGAACAAAATCTAGAAAACAAGGAAACTCATGGATCAAGTATAGGGTGAAATTTGCCTTCGTGGAGGACTTTTTTATGGAACTAACCAGCATTCGAGTTACATCGGGAAGTCACATACAACATGCCGCGGCCTCACTGCAGTATTTTCATATAAAACCTATTCTCCTACACTGCGTGTATTGATATGTAGAGAGAGAGAGAGAGTTTCAGTTTCTAATTTGTAATTATTTCCTAGCTTTGGTAATAATAATAAAAAGGACTAACAAATCGTGCTGGTAGATAGACTCAAAATAAATTAAAAATATTTCAGGATGTACTTTTGTAGAGGTTTGGATCAAGTTTTGGTCGCAATTAGAAAATGTAATTTTTTTTCTCCAACCTAGTGTGCAGTATTGGTCTTGAAGTTTTTATTAAATAAAGCTATAATTTGCTTTAGTACATGAAGGTATTTTTTTAAATAATATAATAAATAATACATTTATGATGTAATTAAAAATATTTGCAAACATATGATTGCATATAAACTTGGCAACAAAAAAAAAACTTACAAGCTTCAGTCATAACAAGTATGTTTTTCAAAATGATTCATCGCGATCTTTCCAAAAGAAATCAAATTACACTTATAAATATCAACATGGCAAAATCTTTGTATCATGTCTCACAGGCTCAACATGTCTCATCATATACTTTACATCTATTTCACCAAACATTAGTAAGTGTAATTATAAATGTTTTATACAGTGTAGAAAAATATTAAAAAAAGAGTTGAAAGAAACAGGTACCTATTTTGATTTGCGTTAACAGAACATACATGCAACAAAGTACACAAAAATACAAAGTGTTGCACAAGTTATTTGAAAGAATACTATGTACAGAGTTCCTGCGTTTATTACTCAAAACAGGGCATCCTAAATGAGAAAAGAAAAAAAAAAGTTTATCACATGACCTTTGATGAAAAGTCCATTTTGATTCTTCAACAGCAGCCTAAAAGCTGTGAGTAACATAATTATTTTTGTAATAGGCAAATAGTATTGCAAAACTGGATACGTTTCAGCCACTGAGTCATACTGTGCAACTGTTCCTACCATTTCATTAATTAAAACTATAATTTTGGGGAAATCAAAAAATTTTCCATATGAATATCTTTGCTTTTGTTAGCTGGTTTTTGATGCATGAAAGTCAAACAAGGTTTAAACTGTTAAAAAAAAATGTTTTTTAAATAAATCAAAAATCTCAAACATCACAATTTTAGTTACAATGCAAAATGTAATATAAATTCAAATGCACGGATAAAGAAAGCATCGATCAAATATATCATAAGCTCAAATATTATTTTTCAAAAAATTAAAATATTAAGAAACAAAACCTTAAAATGACAAATATGAAATTTTGTACTAACAAATGAGCAATATTATGAATTCCTAGCTACATAAAAGCTTATAAACAAGATTCAAAACTCATCTTTATAAATGACTTATTTTTTTAATTTTTTTTTCTTCATTTGATTCCTATTTCCCATTTGTCAAGAAGCACACATCATTTTTTTTTTTTGAGTGCTTAAGAGAGCATTAAGACTAATAAAAATACTTAATTGGGAATTTAGAACCAGAAGAAACCGGACAAAAAAAAAAAAAAACATATTGGTGGTGAAGCATAAGTAAAATTTTCAAAGAGTCTTTTCTACAAAATTGCACAGTTTTTCATATAATGATTTTTGTATCTTTAAGTTTTTAACAGTTTAAACCTGTTTTTGATGCTCATCATGTCAAAAACAAATTAACATCAAAAAGCCAACTGTTACGGCTCTTTATTGCAATGTATATAAAATCCGGAGATTAGAGGGGAAATTTTTTGGAAAATCCCATTTCTTGATGCACCAACAAATTGATGTTAGTGCATTGATGATTCTTAATATACATTTGAACATCCAGGCTTGTCAAAAACAATAGACATGGTTTTGAAAAATATAAATTCACTACGGTTGTAGCCATTAGATGTATATACAACGTAGAACACTTCCCCATCAAAAAAAAAAAAAAAAAAACAGTTTTTCGAAATAATCTTTTACCCTTGAAACTCGAGAGACAATTTAAAAAGTTTTCATTCGTCGTCAGCATTCAGTAAAATGAACACATCCAGGGAAAATATTGGAAAATAAAAATTTAAAAATGTCATCATTTCTTTATGTCAAAAATAAATAAGAAATCAGCAAGTAGTAAATGATATCTACAGGATGAATATTGCTAGGCATCATTCATATACCTGGAAAAAAAAATCTTTTTTAGAAAGCAAATGTAACAAACATTATCTAAACATAAGCACAGCATAAGATGGTGTACACTTTAAAATTTATGATAAACAAACAATTATCTCGAAAAAAAAACTTTACGCTTTAATTAGGTACAGAAATATAATTATTTTTTCAGAAATAAACAATTAAACTAAGTATTTAAAGAATGAAACTGATCTGATTCAGATCAGAGGGATAAGTATTCTAATAACTTAATGCAGCAGCAACAAAAAAAAATATTTATAAAGCTTTATGAGAAACAAAAACATTCTGTGCATGATTTTTTTTTTTAAAGAGATTTCATATTTTAACACAAAAGAATGCTTTAAATCATTTAAGTCTAACACTTTTGCAGTTTATACAGTGTTTAAGTATAATTTAAGCCTGTTTTGCGAGATTCTCTCCCAGAGGAGTGACTTAAAATCTAAATAAAGCTTTCATTTTTATAACATATGCATTTTGTAGGAAAAATATTTTATGTATTTAAATTGTTATATTGATTGCATATGTTATATTTTAATCACTTATTCATATTAAAAATGTTAAGATTATTTAGCTTAAGCTATGTTGATTTGTTCAACATACATAAAAGGCAAGATTTGAAAAACAATTTTTTTTTTTGCTTCTTAAAAATTTTTTTTTTTTACAGTTTATTTTAAATAAAAAGTAAAATACTATACAAGGTTCCCACTCCTTTAACAAAGCAAAAATTAAGGACTTTTTATTGAAAAAATTAAGCACTCTTTTGAAAAATTAAGGACTTATGCCACCAGTGACCATGCCAATTATTTACCTTTCTAAAAACATCAATAAAAACACAATAATAATAAATAGTTTTATTATAATGTACGCACTGATATAATATAATAGTATTAATTAACAGGGCTCAGCAAATAAGTGCCAGGCTATTTTTGTAAACCCAGTTCGGGTTTTTTGAAGAAAAAAAGTTCAGATTGTTAAAAGTTAACGTCATTTAGAATATAAAAGTTAACATATGAAACTAATCTGTATTCCATTTTTAATGATTCCATTGAAATCGAATTGTAAAATTAAGTGCAGAAATTAAGATTTGCTATTTTTTTTATGTATACTAAAAAAAAAAGTAAATAAAGAAAATTGGCAAAATAAAGAACATTGAAAAATTATTACAGGAAGTTTTTATATTTTGTTACTGGACCAGAAAACGAGTTATAATTACTTTTATGATGAACTTTTAACAAAATTATTTCCAGCCAAACATGTTATTATGAATTAACTTTACATAATGTTACTAAACATTTTGGTGAAAAACATGAACAAATTTTAAAGCAACCAAAAATTGAACAAAAGTTAAAAAACAGTAAATGAAGTTGCAATGTTAACTGAATAAAATGATTATTAAAATCTAAGGATCTTTTAGTTGAGCAGACTTAAATTTTTATGTAACATTCTGCTTATCCTTAGTGATGCTAAAAAATTAAGTACTTTTAAGGGCCTTTATGTTCAAAAATAAAAATTAAGCAGTTTTTAAGGACTTTAAAGGACCGTGGGAACCCTGTATACGCCGGAAATTAAAATTAATTTAAGCATTAAAAAATATTTCCTAAAAAACTTTTCCAGCTATTAACAATTTAGTCATTAAATAATTAAAAAAATACCCACATTGATTCGATAAATGCGCTGATATCTTAAAAGAATAACTGAAGATTGATTATGCTTATTATTTTAGAACTGTAGTTCATGAGCTAAATGCTCAACTTCACTGATTTAAGATATCTAAGGTTAATAAATTACCAGTTATGTCAAATTATTTTTAACCTAATGAAAAATATTTACAGGGTTCCCACTCTTTTAACAAAGCAAAAATTAAGGACTTTTAATGGATTTTTAAAAAAATTAAGGACTTTTTTGAAAAATTAAAGACCTTAAAATTAGTGTGATTGTTCACCATCAAATATACATACACCACCAGTGGCAGCACCAATAATTTAGCTTTTTAAAAAAATTCATTTTTATTATAATGTATATACTGATATAATTGTATTAATTAACAGGGCTTGAAAAAAGTTGGTCCAGGTTATTTTTACAACCCGGTTTGGGTTTTGAAAAAATATTTTCAGATTGTTAAGGGCCAACAACATTTATGAAGCTAATTGAATTGTAAAGTTAAGTGCAGAAATTAAGATATGCTATTTTTTTCAAATATTAAAAAAATAAAAAGTATGTAACAAAATTTGGAAAAACATTGAAAATTATAAAATTTTTATATTTCACTACTAAGACATGCATCACATATTCAGTTGTGGGCCAATCATGCTAAATATTCAGATACAACAAAAAAAAATCTTTCTTTCCAATTAATAAAAGACTTTATTTATAAGAGTATATATTAAAAGAATTAATGCTAAAAGGTTGTTCTAGAGTATGCACGAGAGTAGTTTTCTTAACTGTGTCATGTTAAATTAACTTCTATTTCAAGTAGAAACAAATCAGACTAATATCTAAGCATCATAAATCATTCTACTTTTTTTTCATCAGGCTTAAGTTAAAATTTTTTTTAAAATTCATTGCAATAAATATTTTTATGAAAAATTTTTATACAATAAAAGTACAATCATGTTTGAGAAGATTTATAATTTTCAAATCAATGAGTTTTTTATTAGTTCTCAGTGAAAAATATAAATAAAAAAGTTGGAAATGATTTTTCAAAGGTATCAAAGAATTCCTATGGCCAGAAATAGTCTACATTTTTACATCATTTATAGATATTTGCTTTTAATAGTTCTTTACCATTCTCCTAATATTATTCTCTACTAATATTATGATTTGATATTTTATTTTTATTGTGAACTAAAAGTTTAAAACTGAAAGTGGTACTCTTTTATTATAAAGTAATTTTTATTAGGAAGCGTTTTGTAAAAAAATATAGAAAAATTTTATGAAAAACATATTGAAAATGGTATGTAAAATAATGGTTTGATATAATTATCAAACAGCAATTTTAATTGAGTAGATTTAAATTTTTATGCAACAATCTGCTAATCCATAGGAAATCAAAATAATAGTGTAACAATCTAATTTAACAATACGCAAATCATGCATTCTTGTTTAGTACTCAAGATAGTCGGGGTCTACACTAGACATTAACTTAAATTTTCTCATAATGGGTGGGTACAACTTGGGAAATTCACTGTTATATTAGTTTTAAATTCAAGGGTATTTATGATTATTTTATGATAAAAAATTGCTGAAAATTTCAAATAAAGACTGCAACATTTGCTTTAAAAAAAAAGTGGACTTAATAATTATGTAAATGCAGATAATTTAAGGAATAGGACTTTTCAAATAAAATTTTTTGTCTTTTATTATAGTATCCTAAATAATTTAATGATTCATTATAAAATAAAGTTTTTTCTGCAGCTTTTTGAAGGTTTTCAACATTTCTTCCAAGTTCTGCTTTTTCTGATTTCAACAATTCAACACAATCCATCATAGCTTGAGCTAAGTTTACTTTCTTAATAATATTTTTTGAAATTGCTCTACAGAAAATCATCAGCCGACACAAACAGATTTCCATATTTGGCAAATAATCAATGTTTAGGGCATTTAAAAGAATTTCCTGTTAATATGCTGGCTTTTTGGGTTTCCTGCCAAATTTTACAGTCACAGGGGTGATTGTGAGCCCAAGCCAAAATTCCGGAAAATTTCTCGAGTTAAAAAAAAAGTTTAAATTGAAAAAAATTTAAACAAGTTTATTTTTCCTTTTTCTCAATATTTCTTAGTTTACTTAAAATATATTTACAATTTTACACATACCTATACCATTTACACATACCTATGATGACCTGGAGAAGTAATTAAAATTTACAAATATGTCTTTTTTTCTTGAGTTTATGATTATAACAACTATTTACTGATAAAAAATGAATATTAATCATGAATATAAGCTTATAAAGTATCTCTCTGGCTCTCCCTTACAAACAATTAAAATAAACTGTGTTTTTAAGTTCCACCTTCAATCTCCGGAAGCTTCCGGATCACAATCAGCCCTGCAATCAGGAGAAATTCAATTCCATAAAAAATAGCCAGTTTCTAACTGAATCCTGCCTGACAGCATTGATCACAGCGCATCTGCCAATTTTTCAGTGCTCGTGGAAAAAAACTGCAACTATTTTACGGAAAAAGTTATTAACTTTTCTAATAAAAAAGCTATTATAGTGACTCTACTTTAAAAATAAAAAAACGGGGAGGGAAGGGGCAATCTGATGCGACCTCGGCAATTAACCACAAAAAGTAGTCAACATTCAAGAAAAATGCTTTTGGAATAGCTGTATCTAAGAAGGAATCTTCAAGATTTCTAAGAAAAATCTAAAAATTCCAGACATTTTTCAAGCAGTGTAGCAACAGTGTCCAATATTTTTTTCCTACACATTAAAAATTCTTGCCAAATTGACAACTTTTAAAAAAATTAAAGGTTTCTTTGTAAAAACATCAGTGTTTATAAAAGTCTCTTTAAGTATAAATTCAAATTTTACTTCAGGTACAAAGTGCTCAAACGAAGGCTATTTATATCAATGATTTTATCTGGAGGAATGAGGATTGCTTACCATGCTATCGTTCAGCTACTTCATGTTCTGCCCTTGGAATGTCAAATACTTCGGCAAAGAGAGGAGAGATGCGTAGATAATTCCAATTCGCCCTAAACCACCCGAGATGCTCTAAATGCTGCTCTCCAATCACTCTCAGGTCTTGCAGTTTATTGAGAAGTGTCAAAAATGAATGTTGCTCGTTAGGATGGTCTTGCGACCACTGATACTCTAAAGCTTTGATTAACTTGTCTTGGCTTAGTTGAAGGGCCTTGCTGTCGTAGATGCCATCCCTCTCTATAAAGAATTCACAGATCACAAAAAGTTATATTAATGCCTTTTTTTTTTATAAAGTCAAACTTTGCTTACAACAAAATTGATAAAAGAAAGGAATTTAGTTTGTTCAAACAGGCTTTTCAATATTCCAGAGTTTGCAGAAATTATCAAAAAGAATAACAATAGTGAACTATAAATTGGAAAATAAGGTTTACTTTTTCATTTTTTTTACTAGCACTGCAGTGGAAAATGTGTGAGTTCTGTCTAGCGGTCCCAAACAATATTGACAAACAATATCATTCCTGGTATTCTTTGGGATGTGGTGAATCTCAATCATCTTCTAAATTAGTGAGAATTAGAAGAAAAACTACTTATTCCTCTGCATTACATGCCTCAAGGTTTGTTTGCAGTTTTCATATTGGTCACCCAATTTTAGCCATATTTATTAGCCAAATAATCTCAATCATTGTGATGCAGCACTTTAGTGTAAAACCAAATTTTAGAAATGATATAGTAATAATGCATTTATTTATTACCAGTCAAGTTTACTCCAAAGAAAAGTATATATATAGACTTTTAATAATTTTTCACGCTTTAAAGGCATGAATGGCGCTGTCAGCAATAGGCCCATCTCTAACAATCTTAAAATATGTTGGAAATTTTATGACTTAAAATTATTAATTAGCAAAAGAAAGCAAGCTAAATATTAACTTACAAAAAGAAATAAAAGCTAAAAATTAAAATAAGCTATACAATTAATAGGTATAAACTTAATTTTTTCTTTGCGTGCTGTCAAATTTTAAAAATCGTTAAAAGTGGGCCGGGAAAAAAAGGAGGCAGAGAATTACTGATCTGGACATATTACATTTAATTATTTTTTCAATTCATTATAATGTAGAGGGAATGAATGTTCTAAGCAATACTTTTCTGATTCCAAATGCATTTGGTAAAAACCACTAGATATTAATCTTTACTTGCTGCACTGTCATTAACTACGATATACAAATTCCCATAGTGTTGAGAATCCTAGATTCTTAGCATCATATAAAGAAAAGGATAGATGCAATTGAATGAGTCTAGATGGAAACTTTGAGAAAAGAAACAAAGGAGATCACTTAAATAATACAACTATTAAAAATCAAAGTTTTTAGTTTAGATAAATATAATTGCTACAAAGAGTTGGATTTTGGTCATTGCCAATTAAACCATTAAATAAAAAAAAACTGATTAGAATAAAAAATAGCTCTTTTTTTTAATAAAAAAATAAGTTTCTCCTTTAAATGTGAGACACATAAAAGAGACAGACTGTTTAATTACAATGAAGCGATTGAATTTTTATAGCAATAAGGAACAGAAATTTAGCATTATAGAACAGAAGAGTGCAGCTTTAAATTTACAAACATGGGACAGCTTTAAATTTTGAAGATGAGAAATAGGATACTTTTTTTTATTGTCTCTTTTTTTTACACACAAGCTTAGCATCGTTAAAAAATTTGACAGCGATGCAAATGATTGTGACACAAAGTGAAAAAATCTTTAAAAATTTTTATGCAAAAAAATCGTTAAAGATATCAATTTACATACCATACATGTTTCATATTCAACATAATTTTTTGAACCAACATTTATAATTAAATTACCTACGAATGAATATTACACTATTATAGTAACCAATTAGAGGAAAAACTTGTTACAAATATAGTGATATTGGAATTTAAAATCGCGTGAATATGAATCGTGGTATTGGGTCTCAAAAATGCGAAAATAAAATTGCAACACAGCATTTTTTAAACTACATGAATATGTGCATACATTCAGGGGTGATTGTGAGCCCAACTCAAAAATTCTGAAAATTTCTCGAGTAAAATCAATGACGCAATTCAAAAAATTAATGTCTTTATAAATTTAAATCATTGATATTTTCACAACATGAAATTCTAAAGAAATTATATGCAGCATAATTTTAATGAATTATTATGTATAAGTTTACTTTTATCTCTAATCACATTTATTATTCTACCGGAAAAAATATTTACAAATGAAGGCGATGCCAAGTATAAATTCTAGTACTAATATTTTTAAATAAAATAGACAAGAATTTTTATACATAAATGTGATTAATGATTTCTCGAAACTTCTGGACCTTGGATTTCCAAGAATCTGGATTCTTTTCCAGAGCACAATCATCTCGGCACATTGCAATGCATAGTAATGTATAAATACAGAAATCAATGCCTGATATTACATCCTTTTGAATATGAGTAAATATTGGATTTTAAAAAGCGAATCGCGACATTGGATTCTAAACTTGTATTAAAACGCATCGCAATATTAGGTTCTAAAAATCCAAATCATGTTATTCGATTTTTAAAACACATTAATACCAATTGCAATCGGGCAAACACAAAAATTCATGTTTGATATTAAAATCATATGAATAGCATTGAGTGTAGCCAAATTTTTCAACAAAAAAGCAGTTTTCAAGCACCCAAAAATAATTTTAAGCACTTACAAAAAATATCATAATTAGGTAGGGTTGGCAAGTTTTTGACAATTGACGGTTTTAACTGTTATGTCAAAATAAAAAAACACTTTTGAGGAATTATGCAAAACGAATGACGTCTTCATATGCTACGGACCGACGATACAGATTGGGGATGAATTAACTGTAAAAACGTTGAATAGAAAAATGTGAAGAGTCTTTTTGCATAATTCATGGCAAAAATCAACATGGTAATGGAAAAATCTCATTTTGGAAAAGAGAAAAATTAAGCACTTTTTAAAAACACCCAATGAAAAAAAGCACCCACCTTTAAGGGCTTTTAAAAAAAGAAAACAAGCACCTTTAAGCACTTTAAAAAGGCTATGCACTCTGAATAAGAATCGTGATATCAGCAGTTCCTAGTAATCAAAATTGCGAAAATCCTTCAAATCAAAAGATGGTGAAGAAAATTGGTGAAAGAAATACACACACGTAAAAGTCTTGTTAACGGAGCAAAAAACTCAAACCCTGCTTCTAGTTTTTAGACCCAAAAGAATAATATGAAAAACCTGGAATATAATTAACTATGAATTATGTCGGTTATAAGACAGTGATATAAATACTTTTAGTTACAGAAAAATACTTTAAATTATGAAATACCTTAAAAACATTAATTTTAAAACAAAACTTCGTAATTTACACATTAAAAAGGTAAAGTACTGAAGAAAAAAAAAAGATAATATCCATAAGAAAATATGAAGAGAAAACTGAAGTGCAGTTCACATGAAGATTAAAATATTTAAAAAACATTTTAGAGTAAGAAAAATAGAATTACCTGGATTGAGTAAAACAATAGCAGAATAAAGGGCAACATCTGAATCACTTAGCCTGAGGTCATTCAGCCAACAGGCAAAGTTGAAGACACGAGTGACAAAATCATTCTATTTTTAGAGTGGAAAAATATACATAAATATATATACAATAAGTACAAAAATATATATACAGTAAGTACAAAAATATATTTTTACATTTAAGTAAAAAATTTTTTACATTTAAGTAACTTTCGTCATTCATTGCATACTCTTCTCACTAACAGCGATGCTAAATTTTAAGGTCACACTTCATTCCTAACTAAAACCTTTATGACCAAGAAGAACTAATAAAAGTCACTTAGTATTTCAGCAGGGTTGCCATTCAAATCTGGAAAAAAACTCCCTGTGTTCGCCCTGTGCATATTATACACAATACATTAAGAGGAAGCATAAATACTGTGCTCTTGTGTAAGCTATATTGGGCTAATTACTAGCTTTAATTGGGGGAAAACAGCTGAACATACTGAAATAATCCTATAGTAACTGAAACAGCTTAGTATAACTGAAATATCATTCTTAAATACTCCATGGATTGCGCGCTGGTCATCATTTTTTTAAAAGACGAAACAAAATTCCCTGTAGTTTCCCAGTTTGTAAAGAAATAAAAAAAATTCCCAGCATTTTTCTTGCCATTTCAGATGATTTTTAAATTCATGTTTAGATAAGCTCTGAAAAGTAACTAAATTATACTGCTTTTCGCAGACAAATTCTTAAAGAACAAAAACACTGCAAATTTATTTGTCATTTTGAAATGTTTACCTTACAATCTTAATAATAATTTCTAAACAGTGAGATTTAAGATTCTTAATAATATCACATCAAAATATCAAAAAAAGAAGGGGGGGGGGGAAAGGACTTGCTGACGAAATGCTATGCGAATAACGAAATTTTAATTTTTATATCAGCAGAACTCGGAGAAAATTTTGTCCAAATATGAATTATTTATTCGCTGAAGTGTGAGAAGCAACGATCAACCAGCAGCAGAATCACATGCCAGTTAATTTCAACTATTATAGTAGAACTGTTGAATAGAAAAACAAATGACAAAATTGTTGTATAAGTTTTTATAGGATAATTTTAAGAGTAAAAAATAGTTGTTTTTTGCGTAATTGACAATAGATTAACTTAGTGCTTAACCCTTTTACAGGGTTCTTGCTCAATTATTTAAAAAAAAAATTAGGACTTTTTTAGGACTAAGAAAAAAAAATTAGCACTTGATGTAAAGTAAAAATAACATACTTAATCTATACATGATATTAAAAATATACAAATTAAGTGTTTCACGATTCATGAAGTAAAAATTACATAATTAATCTATACATGATGCAAATTGCAGCTTAATTTTGTCACAATCTTTTCCCTCAATTTTCTTTTTTTTTGACTTAAGTAATTTAATATGTTTCTCATTTTTAGAACACACTTGCTTTTGTTTTCTGACATTAATTTTGGATTGATGCAAGCAACATTTCTTACAACAGAATAGTTTATTGGACATTACTTTAGTAATGTTTCTAACATTTTGGTGATAAACTTTCTGCAATCTTTCTTTATATTCATATGATCCCTGTCAGAAATAACTTTTGAGGCTAATAGCTGCTTTAAAATTTGGTCACCTTTAAAACCTACACTGATTTTCGTCAGAGAGACAATTCTTTTCATCACAAAAATTAAAATGGCACAGTTTCTCCAGAGAATTAAAGTTTTCTACAGATTCTGGATTCAGAATGTTATATAATTGCACACTATGTAATACCAAATCCTGGATATATGCAGCAAAAAATGGTAAAAGTGGCCGATCTGCTTGATACAGTTTCAAAAATGGTGAAACTAGCTCCGACACATTTAAGAAAAAGTTCAGCTTAACAAGAATTAATTTGTCTTTTATTGCTTCTTGTAAAGTTAAAAAGGATTTACATTTCACTTTTCTAAACTTGCCAACATTTTTCACATAAGATTTCAGATCATCCCAAAGCAATATTGCTCTTTCAGCTGCAGGTGCATTTTCCAGCCAACGGTGGTTACAAAATTTTAGTGGTAATTTGTTCTCAGTTGATTGATTAATAAAATCTTCTTTTCTTGTGGGTGAATCTTTAAAAGGATAGAAGATTGAGCTCAGGATAGAACCAATGAGCCATTCTGTTTCAGATTCACCTTTGTAGAATGCGTTATTTAAAATATGAAGCCCACAACTTCCTATTGCATTGCATTGAACACCATGTTCTTTTAACAAATCTTCTTGAATATTATTATAAAACTTCCAATTGACAGCAGGACCATCCATAGAAATCTGCAATAATTTCTTCAGGTCTACATTTTTGACTGATGCATAAAAGCAGGCTAAAAGGTCATCTGCTGCAGAATGGCCCAGAAAAGCTGATGTTAAGTATCGCCATGGGTGCAAGTTTGAAAAAAGGCCAAGACTGAAATTTTTTTTAACTGAAATACCTAACATACACAATACCCCCTCGACATATGCAAACTGTCAAAGAAAGCTTTACCATAATATATCAAGTTTAAATACTGTACAAAAAATATTTATTCATCTGTCTTTTGATAAAATAACAACAGGACATAAGGAACAGGATAAAATAACAACAGGACCAATAACGTAGACCTAAAAATATTTTTATGGACAGAAAAAAAAAAATTCAGATTTCAGTCTTCGAGTCAGTCTTGTTTCCGTCTTACTTCCGTCCGCGGACATTTTCGAAAGACGGAAATCCGTCCTAGGGACGGAAGACTTGCACCCATGAGTATCGCGTCTCTACAATGTTCTTATCTGGGTTCCAAAAGTGGATATGTATATCCAACTGCTTCTGCTGTGTCACTTTGTTCAAAGACTCATCAAAAAGCAATGTATAAAACTTGGCATTATCAAGGCACTTCAGAAGTAGCATGCTAAAATGAGGTGCAAGTCCAAAATGACAGAGATATGTACACTTAGATTCACTGCAGGCGAAATGATGCGCTATTGAACTGTCTGGAAACATTGTACTAAATAATTTTCCAGTGTCTTTGGAAGAATTGTAGGAGTAGTAGCTTTCTACAACTTTTAAAGCCCATAAAATCTCAGAAGAAAGAACTTCTTTCCCCAAAGCCCAAGAATCTTCTAAAAAGATGGAGGCAGCAGGAGAGCTGAAGGCAACAGAATTTAAGGATTTAGGGAAACCGATTTAAGGAATCAGATCACTCAAAAAAAAATTCGAAACGCCAAAAAAAAAAAAAAAAAAAAAGCACTTTTTTAGCACTCAGAAGAAATTTTAGCACTTTTTAGGCCCTAAAAAAGTTGGGGAAAATATTTAGCACTTTTTTAGGACATTTTAGGACAGCAAGAACCCTGTTTTATTATCATTAATTGCCACAATCCCTAGTTTTCCCTATTTGCGGAGAGAGTGGTTACCTTGAAGTCAAAACATTTACTTATACAAACATTTAAACTTACATCAAACATCACTTCCATTTGCTGTCTCGACATGTAGGTTCCATCACTGAAGGTGATTGTCCCTTCCCTGTAGTTGATGAGACGTGAAGCATGGATCAACCATACCTCAAAGAAACTTAATTTAATTGTACGTAGCTGATCATCTTGGCTAAGATCCAGAAACCCTGGGATACGTTTTGCAAACTCCACCAGTTGAGGCACTGAAGGAGTGAGGAAGGCTGAGAACTGCTGCCAAACAATAATTTTCTGCAATTCACGATTACTGCCACCCACTTGTCCTTCGAGGGCAGTAATATCAGCTCGGCTCTGTAAAAAGAAAACATTTTAAAATGAAACAATACCTTTAAATTCTCTTTAACTGCTTCTCTTACCAACTTAAGAAAAAAAAAGCAATAAAATGACATATTTATGTATTTCATTAATAAATACAAGGAACTAAAACAAAACGTGATACACAAGTTCTAAGTTGAAATTTTAATTTTTTTATGTGTAAAAAATATTTAATTTACCACCAGCTTACTATGCCAAATCATCTCGGGCAAGTGAAAAAAGTTAAACATTAGTCTTTGTATATGTTCACATCTTCATAATCTGAAAAATTATCTGCATTACTTTCACTTTCGCTCGCCATTTTTTTAAAACTCTTTCCTCCATGCAAATTCATTAACCATCATATATACAATTGTACAAAACACGTCTGCAGTCCCACAAATAGCAAAACTCCCAAACAAAAAGTGGCCAATCACAGCAGATTATTATTATTTGTTTTGCTTCCGGCCAAATAAAAACGCAATGAAACAAAACATATTCACGAATTCTGCTATGCCGGAGTTTACTCAGAATAATAAATATTTGCAATACATACATATACGAGTTAGCTTGGGATAATCAAGGAAGCGGTTAAAGAATTACATTTTTTTCCCCTTTTTCTGCTTGTTTCCAGACATAACAGACTGTGTCCAGAAACATTGTTTACAGTCTCAAGCCAAATTAGATTTTGCAATATCTTTTCTTTCGTTTCTGAGTTCAGTTCGTCCCCTGACTCAATTTTCTTCTTTATGCTTTTCACGCTAGCTTTAGAAACCTTCCATTTTTGTGATAATACTTTAGCAATCACGAGATGCTTTACACAGTGAAAGAGTGCTTTTTTTTACCCACGAGAAAAATGTTCCAATTGACTATTTAAAATACAGCACACAAAATAAACAGATAACTGTGTAGTATAAAACTGCAAAACAAATTAACACAGTACATAAAGTCGCAGAAACACGCCACAACTGACGCATGCGTCTGAAATCGGCTTACAATTGTTGACTTTCGTGTATCAATTAGTTAACATTGTAATGCAATATATTAAAAATAAATACAAATAGGAAGTAAATATAAAATTCAGGGTGGCCACTCAAATCAGATTTCAAATTTCCCTGATTTTTCCAGATAAAAATCTTAAAATTTCCAGGTTTTAGTTACTTTATTCTAATAAAGTGTAGGCAAGAAAAGCGTCTATATTATAAAATATTTTATTCAAAATTTCATTTTTTTAACATATCTTGAAAAAAATAATTTATTTTGACAACTTGGCAAGATTTTTTTATTCATTTTTTAATGCTTTGGTACAAAATTTTGAATCCAAAATCATATATTGACCAACAAAAAGAGTAAAACTAAATATTAGTATATAGTTAGTTCTTAAAAAAAAAAACCTTTTTTCAAAATTAAATTATGTTATAAAAGGTTAAAATGAAATAGAAAAAATTAGCATTAATGCAACAATTATTACAATTTGTCAATAAACATAGCTGTTAGCGATTGTAAAAAAAAAATGTGTGATTGGCTGGTTTGCTGAGAAAAAATAATTCACAGATTTCTTTTAATGGGAATACGAAAGCTTTCAGAAAAAGAGGGCAATATAAAATCTATTATTATTATTATTCAATTATAACCAACTAATTTTTGGAGAATTTTATAAAGTTAAAAATACAAAAACATTTTGTCAAAATGAAAACAAATTACCACGAAATCATTGGAACAAACTTAAGCCATAAATGGATTCAGACCAAGGACAGAATTAAAAAAACAGTAATATCCTAATCCCTTCTTCCACCTCCACCACAATATTTCCTAAATTGCACAGTCCATAGCAGTCAAAGGTTTCCACATTCGTTTAGCAACAGTGGGAGAATTTTATGTGGCATTCTAGTTTAACAGAGCTGTAATGGAGCAAATTTTGATGAAAGCAAAGTATTGCTAAGTTGATGATATTTAAACTGCTTGAAGATACATTTCCGTCTAAAAAAAGTGGGTATAATGGATGAAATAATTTAAATTAGTGAAAATTCCAGCTTTTCTTTAAAATTCCCTGATTTTTCCAGGTTTTTATCCAAATTTCCCTGATTTTTCCAGTATAAAAATAATTCCCTTATAATTCCAGGTTTTCCAGGTGGGTGGCCACCCTGAAAATTATTCTACATCAACATCGCGCAAAACATGCAATTATTAATAAACTACAGTGTGTCTAATAATTTGGCTAGAGACTGTAGACTTAATTTTTAGCATTGTTTGACTGTGTTCGAACACAAATTTACCATCAATTGCAAATTAAAGAAAGTAAGAATTAAAAGTATAGTTTAATATTTTTAGAACCTTCACAAATTGCAGAGAAAGGAAAAGAGACAATTTGTGGTTAAAAAGGGAACTTTGATGAATCATTTTAACTTTTAAAAGAGGTCTCTGGGGTACCATTTACATTTCAAATGATTTATACTGAAGTAAGATAAATGATTTAATTAGTTGCCCCCACATAAACATTTAAAAAAAAATAAGTTAAAACAGAATTTATAAAAACACAAGACACTACTACTGTCAACATAGAAATTTAACAGTAAATTTCACGGCACTAAGTTTTGAAACTGCTCGTTTGGTTGGCGTTTTACCAAAACAAGGTTAGATAAATAATCTATATGATTACATATAAATTGCTATTGACACTTTTCAAGCTTGTTTTCAAGAGTATCTTTTATTAACTTCACCTGTACAATTTGCCTCTACCAAGTACCCATTATAAAAAACTTTCTTCAGTAGGTTAATATAATTAATTGTATCAAATTTATAAAGATGAGTTGTTAATACGATAACATATATAAAACAATAAATGCATAAAAAAATTACGGAAAGAGAGAGAATGGGCCTTTACAAATTTTAATTATTTATAGAATTGTAAATTTGATACAATCACAATATAATAGAATAAAAAATGTAACTTGCTGTGAAATTTAAAACAAAAAAATAATAAAAAATAAAACCTGAATGGAAAACTAGTCTTTGAATTGAAGATAATATTCAAATTTAATAATTTCAATCTCTTGAATCAAATAAAGTTAAGTTAATGAAAAATAATTTCCTTAACTTAATAAAAATTATATCAATGAAAATTTAAAAAAGGTTTCATTAACTTAAGAGAAAATATTTTATATCAAAAAAATTCCAAATTATCTTTAAATAACTAAGGAGTAATGAAAAGTCTTAAGACCATAAATCCACTAAAATATGTTACACCCTATGAACTATCCAGCATATGCAACTGTTATTGATTGAAACTGGGGGGGGGGGATTTTGCAAATGATCAGAGAAGTTTCATATTAGATAAATAAAAGGCATATAAAAATTAGAAGTGATAAAACTCTGTCGCAGTTGACTGTAGTGAGTCAAAGTCTCACCAGGAAGGAAAAAAAATAGTGAGTACAAAAATTAAGATATCAATAATAAGTTATAAATACAACAAATATCATTGGATATCTAACAATGTGAAGAATGGGGAGAGAGGTTGGCGGGCAGGTCAATTTTGACGTATCTTAAATACCCCTTTAAACTGATTTTCAAATCATTCAAAAGATGACTGAAACAGTCCTCAAAATGCAGAAACAACAACAAAATCTCAATGATCCTTTTCATACGTTAATTGATATAGTATGTACTTGACAATAAAAAAAATCAGTATAAAATGCTAAAAATGAAGACAACATTGCAGAAATACAGAGTTAGCATTTGCAAATTTCAAATTAACACAATTTTAAGGTATATATACTGTTCAATTTTATACAAGTATGCAATATCAATAAATTGGTATGAATTTACTCAGCCATTACTATTACTAAACCATACAACTGAAATCTTAATAACAAAATCATAATAATTATGAATAAAACATAAGACCAAGCTTACAAATATTGCAGGCTTCCTAATGAGATCTCTCGTCTTCTCCTCTGTGTATGAGCAGTGGATTCTATGGGCTTCAGATAAAATTAAAATTATATCATACATGATGGGCCGGAAATCTGATGAGCTTTTTACAAGTTCTGTACCGCCCTTTCCTCCTCTCGACCGTTTCGGCACTCTACCATATCTTACGGCTGAAAAAAAAATAACATTCTAAGATTACTTTACAAGAATATACTTAGGTCAAATAAAAGAGAAAAATAATAAGCCGACAACAATGTTGTGACAAAAATACATAATCAGCTGGAGGGAAAATGCCAAGATATGTAATTTTCTCAAACATTTGCCAAATTTATGTCCTAAATTGCAAATAGATTTTAATTAAATAAATAAACGGTATGTACAGTAGTCTCCTCTTAATGTTATTACTTTTGGACACAAGGACTTTGATAAAATTAACTGATTGATAACAATAAGCAAATCACAAAATTAGACATATTTTCCAATTTAAGCCACACATACTAAAATTTATAATAAAACTTTTAATATTCACCTTATTGTATCAGCATATTTCTTTCAATATAAAAAAATTAGTACAAAATAAAAAAACACCAAGTGTTGACTGTCAATAATTTTTTCTAAGAAACTCATTTAAATGATTGTTCGTAATCAAAATTTTTTAAGAGCACTGAAACAGGATTGTACTCCTGTTTCAACACTTAGGTACAGTGGCATAGTTTTGGGGACAAAACCCCTTCTGAAATTAAACATTACTTGATTATAAACTATTATACGGTAAGTAGGATGTAGATATAAAAAGGTTTTCATTATTAATTTTATGTAATTTAAACATTTAGAATATACAGGGGTCTGTTTAGAAGAAATTTGGGTCCGTTAACAGATCCTTTACAAAATATCTTTTCATAAAAAAGGGCTCTTCACAAAATATTTTAACTTAAAAATGGACCCTTCACAAAATGATCTATCTCTTAATCAGATCCTTCACAAATTTGTTTATCTTCATTATTGTTTTGTTAATCAAATAAACCCTTCTCAGGGGAAAAAAAAAGAAAGACGATGTAAACGAATTAAGTTTTATCTTCTGCAGACGCTTCTTCCCTTATTCGTCCAAAATGAATATTCTGCGTATAGCAGTATAGGCTAAATACCAAATATATATGTATGTTGCATCTCTAATTTAGTAGCAGCAATTGCTGTTTGTTTTTGAATTATAATTTTTTTTTGTATTATAATTCTACAGAGTTGAGCATAATCTTGTATCTATTTACAATTTAAAAACTCATTGAAAAAGTTTTTCGCAATAACAGGACTCTATTTGCACAAATTCACATAAGCAGAACCCTGGTTGACAGGATATTAACTTAAAACGTTTATTTTATATTCACAAATTAAGAGTAATTTTTTCACTATTTTACACAAACAGGACCTTTCGCAAAATATCTGGACACACCCCTAATATATATAAATATACATACAGTAGAAGGAGATAGCAAATACTCCCAAAACATACAATAAAACTATGCCACTGTTTAGGTATGTACATTCATCAGTGCTTTAAATGTGCATTTTCTGATGTAAATATTCTCTTCAATACATCACTTTCGTGCTTCTCTTAATCATTTGTTGCAACAAAATTTCTTTGACTAGCTAAATTGTTGACTTTTAAGTTCGAACTTTTGTTGTTTCGAAAAAGAAAGATATAGAAACACTGACAACAATTTAATGACTACAGAAAGTGATAACTTTAACATAGAAATGAATGGGAAAATACGGATCAAGTGATTTCGGTAACAAACGGCTGAGAACACTAACAGTGATCACATTAAACAGAAAATACTGTATATATAAATATAAAACAATAGAAAATTTAGGTTAATATAGTTTAGAAAATCCTTTTCAAACTTTGAAATCAGCAACAGAAAAGTGGCAGAAATTATATATGCGACACAACACAACCCAAGATTATAATAAACACAAAAATAATTAAATACTTAGGGATAGACAATAAATTAAGTTTGCTAAAACTTATTAATTACATAAAAAGAATTAAAAAACATCTCCAGAATAACATTTGATATAATGATTTTAAATTAATTTTTGATCTTTTTAAAATAAAAGTGCTCAGAATACAGTTTTCAATTTATATTCCATCTTACTTGGAATTTGTAAATCACTTATAAGAAAATCCTAGTTAAAAATTTGAAATATTCCTTAATTATATTCCCTGAAATATTCCTAACGACTAGAGTTATACCAAATTTAAATATTACAGTCATTGCAAGTTATTTTACTTGTTTTAAAATCACAATGACACTTATCAAAAATATTAAATTGAAAAATTTTAAGGTCTAATTATGCAACTGCAACCATACTATTCAAGTTTAGTTGATTACTTTAATATATAGTATAATTTTAAATATCCTATACAGGGCAAATAGCCAAATTTTTTTCGACAAAATAACCTTTTATGCACTCAAATATTTTTAAGCCCTTAAAAAAAAAAAAATGAAGATATATGCACTAAAACTAATTTATTCTTCCTGTTGTTGAAAGTTATATATACAGGGTTCTGCCCAGACCGAATTTACTACCGTTTAGCGGCACCATCACAAATTCAACTTTAAGAAAAACTGTAGTCTCACAAAATACTTTTTCTTAAAATTTTATTTTTGTATCCCTTGAAAAACGATAAATCCATATTTTTGTGATGATTTTTTAATATAATTTTTAGTTTTTCACAAATTATGTCTAAATTTTCACAGAATACGCACCTCACGGAAAAACCTAGACAAACCCCTGATATATATAAACAAAATGCAAGAATTTTACATGATAAAAAAACTTGTTTTTGACTCCAAACCATAAAAACAATTTATGAAGAATTTTGCATAGATTCAATATAGAGTAATTCGTTCTATTTTTTAAATTCATAATTACTTTATTTGATTTTGTAAAAAAGAATAACTTTAATTCAAAGTCATAATTAGTTAAACTATAATTTAAAAAAGTTATCTGTATTATTAAGATTTAAATAAAAGCTACTAATAAAAAGCATATTCAACAAAACATTAAACAGAAATATATTATTGACCATGCTGAATGTATATAGATAAGTAAAGAATAAAGTAAAGTAAGAAAATTTAATAAATTCATATTAATGATAATTAATAAATGTTGCTTATTAAATTTTTATAAAATTTGTCACATGGTTTAGTATTTTTCTAATGAAACAATTAAAAAAAATTTCCAATAATTTTAAAATGTAAATAATGAGTATTGCAGTTAAACTTTTTTTGTATGAAGTAAATTTTTTTATATGGTCAATACATTCATAAAATTTTACAAATCTGAGATTAAGTAATTTTTCTTTATTTCAATTGTTTTTAAATTAAATCATTAAGAGTTTTTTGGAATGACTAAACAGAATTAAATTAAATTTTTTACTACATTTGCTAAATGTTAAAATAGTGAAAAGTCCCTTACATCATACTTTTTTTTTTAAAATCTTGCCTCTTAAGATTAGGTTTCTTAATAAAATATCTTAAGAGCATTGAAAATTTAAGAAATACTGAAGTACAATTAAAAGTTTAAAAATTAGTTCTTCATTAAATTTAATGAATGAAACAGAGATGGAAATTTTCAAATGATGAATCTTTGTGATTCTTGACAGCTGTGGACCAATATGAGATTTGAGTATGGTATTATATCAGTTCTTAATATAATTATAAAAATATTAAGTTATACTGTACTCATTCATATAAAATATTAAAGGATTACATTCATTTCTTAAGAAATTGATTAGTTTATTTTACGTTCACTGATTTTTTACTTTTTACACATTTAAAAAGGCTGCATTAATGGCTTGAAAATTTATAATTTTAACTTAGATTTATATTTTACCTCATATATTCAAAAATAATTTTGTCATTGTAAAATTTTAGGCTTAAAATTGCATCCAAATTTAAAACTCAATAAAAGTCATAGTACATTGTTAAATTTCAACATGAATTTAAAAATAAAGTTTCATAAAATAATAAAGATCTGTCAGAATAAAGTTAGAACGATGTTTGAATGTTCAAATTCAGAGAATGCGCTTGGTCGTTTAATTTGAAAAAAATCTCTAAGAAAAAAATTTCACCATAACATGGCGTAAGCGACCGGTTACTTACTATACTGCATTATCTGACCAAGCATGTGCTATCTATTATTCCTATATGCGGATATAACATGGGAATTATGGTTTCTTACCAAGATGGGTAAGTTTCTGCCGAGGTGGTTAAAACCACTGGTAGAAACAGGTTAAAACTGGCATGACAGAAACCCTTTTCTGCCACATATGTGTCAGAAATTCAGAAAATTACATAAAATTAAGTACTGAGATTGACATACAATGGATAATTCATAGACAAAACAATTAAATGTTAAACAAAGTACAATTTACTTACAAAATTATCACCATTCAAAATCAAATATTACATTGTTTGCACTCTGCAGTAATCTATAAAAGACAAGTTTCGATGCAGTTTCTAAACCTAAACATACCTTGCTATATGCATGAACGAGAAATTTGAGAAGATTCTCTCAAGTTCAGCAAAACTAGCAAGCATTGCCATCAAGGAACAAGCAAGATTTGTGAAACTTTCACCGATTGCATATTTTTTAAATCTGGACCACCATGTAGTTGTAAAAAACTTAACTGGAAAAATAAGTTTCAGCAAATGGAGCAGATTTGTTTTATATAAATATTTGATATACTGTACTCTTTATAGTTAATAAAAACAAAATATATATTTACAAACAATGAATTAAAAAGTTTGTTACAGTTACATGGAGTTACAATTTCAGTTTACTTAAACAAAATGTCATTAAGCAATTATTAGAACTAATATATACGTCTTTTTAGTTTCTGCCGGCAAAAAGCCAACCCTGTTTCTTACGGGGATACAAAATCAAAATTTTAAGAGACGGAGAGTAGAATCTTAGAACATGCTTTTTTAAAAAAACATTAATTCAACTTAAAGGAAAACAGTAGTGAAGGAAACGCTAATAGTAAATTTGCCCTGGACAGACCCCTGGTTTTAAATATTTGATTTTGATATTTCTCATTTGAAAGAAGCATCTCTTTCATTTCGGTTGAAGGAAACCTATTTCTTCCAGGGTAGTTTTTTCAATCCTGGAAGAAATTTGCCCTCCCTGGTATAACTTGTTATTTACAATTAGACTATTTTTTACCTAACACAAAAAACTTATACATGGAATCTATTAAAGCACATCAATTTAAGCTCTGTTTTTTAAGAATTAAGTATACAAAAAACAACAACACTTAAATTATAATTTAAATCAAGTACAAAATATGTGTTTTTAAAACTGTTACTCACAATCTTTTGACATTCCAACACTCAGACATTTTTGGAATCTACAATACTGGCAACGGTTTCTGTTCAGACGGATAACCAAACACTGTTTATCTCGAAGACATTTATAGTTGATTTGCTTTTGAATGCTTCGGCGAAAGAATCCCTATAGGAAAAACAAAACATAAATCTACATCTAACATTTGCCGCACAAGACACAGATTCGGGAAATGTAAACCAACGTTTAGCCCTAAATAACAGTAATAAAAAATGTAATTTTAAAAGCAATAAAAACTATATATTTTAAAATTACAGTCCACGTATATAAAATTTATCTTACCCTTCCTACAACAAAAATTAATAACCCTCTAGAACTTTGAATAATAGCTTCAAGAACTTAAGTTTAAAGGTAAAATAAACAGTATCTATTACACCTTTCAATAAATTTGGAGCATATGGTACAGTTAAAAAAAATATATACCTTAAAATTAAAATGATGTTTTTGCAGTTTACTGCCCCTTTTTGTAACTATGTTCTTAAAACGCATTTTAAACAAACAAGAGTTTTGTTTCTAAATTGTGTTTGTACACAAAGGCTTTATAAAAATATAAGGGATACAAAGACATTTTTATAACGAAAAGTAATAATTCTTAATACATGTTAAAATTCTTCATTTATATTATCTATTTCTTTAAAAAATACAACATAACATACCCCTTCATTTATTTATTGCTTCACATAAAAAATATTAAATATTCTCTTTGTGAGTTCTTAAATCGTTTAAGAAAAGGGATAGTAATTACATATTTTCTTGCAACTGCTATTTAAAACTGTCACTGATTTGCATACTTCATTGCACAATCGTGGTCTAATTGTAAAAATTACCCACATTAATCACAAGATGAATTATTCCTAATTGGCTTAGGCAGAAGCAAGATTTTTAGAAAATTACACTTACCCACCAATCATAATTAAATCAGTAAAATGAATATTAGACTTCACAAGCAAAATTTTCTATTCGCTCGACATTTGTAATAATGAGACTTTGATTTAAACTAATATAATAAATTCAAAACGGGTAATGTTGCTATGTTATAAAATAAGTAACATTCAAATGTAAAAGAAATTGAGATCAAATTTATTTTTCTTGAAAAAAATAAAACACGCGTAAATAATAATTTACCCGCAACACAAGTTATAAATCAAAACAAAGATGGAGAGATTTCTCAGCAAATGCACATTCACAATAAATGGCAAGGACAGAAGAGTTAACTATTAAAAAGAAAAAAACGATCTTACAAAAGGATTGTGTTGTTGCAACAAAATTTATAATAAAATCACATTTAACAAATACTTTTATACACAAAATATATGTATTCATACAAAAAAGCTTTCACCTCTAGTAATGGAACCGGTTTTGTATTTCTCTCAACTGCTACTTTGCATCTATTTTAGACTAGATTATGCTTATTAAGTAAAAAGAAAATGGTTAAAATATTGCACAACAGTGATTTGATGAAGTTTTTGATTCTTAAATAATAACACTTCGTTAAAACATAATTTTTTGTAAAATTAAAAACGTCATACTTTCTATATACAAACGAAAGACATTTTTCTATCAATTAATTCGACATCAACGCCGCTATCGGAAGATATGAAATGCTAAGAAAACTATTGGTTACAGTTATAACGCAATATGCAGTTAAAATTTCTAGAACGGGATGGCCTAGAGAGATTTTGCTTAGGTCCCGTTTTCACTTTATGCTATTCACGCACCTCGGCTCGCAATTTGTATGGATATTTTCAATACAAAAGCAAACAAAACAAATCACGAGGCCTAGAAAGATTATTGCTGCTTACAACATCTTATTATGCGAGGCGATATTTTTAACAGATAATATTTTTTCAATAAAGGAAGTAATTAATTGGATCGAAATGCTCTACAAGTGTCGCAGAGCAAACTCTCTATCTACGGCAACACTTTTACATACTTTCACCATAAGCGTGAGTACAGTCATGGGCGAAGAAGACGTGATGGCTCAGGGGACAGAGCGGTCGTTTTCCAATGAAGTGAACCAGGTTCAAATCCCTAAGATAGTTGGTCGATACGAATTTCGCACCCGGTTTGCACCGACCACAGGGGTCATATAGTCTGATCATTGTGATAGATAATTAATATAAAGACTTGAATTCGGATATTTGATTGCGTAGTTATTAATTTTTAAGGAATAAGTAATAGCTTGTATAGTAAATAATATGCACATTAAAAAATTATCGTTCCTTTTATTTATCAGCTTCTATATCATTATAATGAAAAAAAGAAAATCGGGCTTTAGTAGGGGATATTGGAGATAGAAAGATTTATACGCAACGCAACTACCACTGCAATTATTAAATATCAACTCACTAGCATATAAGACATGCAAACTCGATTCAGTCTTGCGGTACCTTTCGATATATGAAGGTTGGCATGGTTATTGACTAAATTCCCCACATTGGAGACCTAGACGTGATATGAGCTTGCCTATATCAAAAGTAACGCCCACTTCGATGTATGGTCCATATTGAACAGTTGACTTGCTTTTGGGGATTGCGTCATTGCCCTCCTAGCGCTGTTGCTTATCAATCCTATTTGCACACATCGGGATTCTACACACACTCGACTGCTAAAGCAACACAGGAGAGACCACACACTCAACCGTGAACTTAGTACAACTCTCAAGACAAACGCTTGAGACTCGGTTAACTTGTTACCGCTCTCACTGCAAGTACTCAAAAGTAAGTGAACCTAATACAGTTTTCTCGGCCTCTCGCAAATACGACAACTAGTCGTATCCGTTCACTGAATTATATCCCTGATAAAATTCTAGTGCGGAAGTATTGCGGCTTAACTATCGCTACAATTATCAAATTACAATTATTCACTGGTATATTATTCATATTTATCTTGGTTAAGCAAATCATTTAACCATAAAATATTTATTATAAAATCTTTCATAAATGTAAGGAATTGGGTACTTTCCGTACCCACGCATGTGACCTATGACGTCAGCGAACGCAAATCTTTATCAGCAAAATAGCGTGGTAAAGTTCAGCTAATTTTTTCTACATAAGTTAGAATGTTAATTAACGATAAGTTAATTAAATACTGAGCCATATCGTACATCGAATTCGTTGAAATATAATTCTTTCTCGTCTACTTCTTTAACTTCACTTAGATTTATAATTTGTTTATGTATTTTATTGTAACAGTGATATATTTTCCTGTTTTGTGTACCTGGCAGCTTCGATGCATGGTTCGTTTGCTTATGTTTCACATGCAGGACCAGATTAACCTATAGGCACACTAGGCACGTGCCTAGGGCCTACGAAATTCAGGGGCCTACGAAAAACTTGGGAGAAANAATTAACGATAAGTTAATTAAATACTGAGCCATATCGTACATCGAATTAGTTGAAATATAATTCTTTCTCGTCTACTTCTTTAACTAAACTTCGATTTATAATTTGTTTATGTATTTTATTGTAACAGTGTGTTTTTTTGTGTCATGTGTTTTTTTGTTTTGTGTACCTGTCATCTTCGATGCATGATTAGTTTGCTTATGTTTCACATGGCTTCGTGTATGTATTTGTGTTAAGTCTCTGTGTAAATATATAATGAAAGAATCGAAATCTTTGAGAAAGAATTTCTGTGAACGAATTTAGAATGTGTCACTTAAGAAAATTGATACTTGAAGGGGTTGGCTTACTTGAAATGGAATGGAAAGAACAATTGCTAACATAAACAAATGCCACGTTTCAACAACCAATCGGGATCGAGATACCCACACTTCGTCCCTTTCTGGCATCCCATTATGCACACGTTCATCTTTTTTAATTTAAAGTGGCAGCTAATGTGTGAAATGCTACTTTGTGAGCTAATGTGTGCTAATTGCTAATTATTGAAAGATAATCGGAATTTATTTTATTATTATTTTAAGTTACATAATCTAAATAAATAAATATCGTTTTTCGCGAAATATGTTTATTAATGTGAAGTTAGTTTTTATTGGGTGCGTCTTCAATATTTATTTCCATTTAATTTATTTTGATATTATTATAATAAATTTATATTAACCGAGGTTTAAATTTAAGGCATTAATAATTCAAAATATGATAGCTGCCACGCTGATATTTATTCAAATGAATATAAGAATCTTAAATTGCTTTCTGGGAAAAGTGTCAGACTCATTATTACAATATTATCGTAATGATTATGATAAACTCTTATTACTTCTCATTCAAACTGGAGAAGATTTTTATTTAGATTTTATGTGTGATCTGCACATTTTTATATAATCCAGTTTGAATATTTTAGGTAACATAAAAATATAATATTTTACGATATTTCAATTTATTTCAAATATGAATGAAAGATGAAACAACTGTGCTCAATATGGAAAGATGAGAAAACTAAATTTTGAAACAGTTGTTTAATAAGATATTAAGAATAGTTTTCGCTTTATTAATCATTTTTAAAAGAAGAAAAAAAATATGACTTGATTTTTTAGTAATATTTATTGCTACCAAGACTCCAAAAATTAACAAATTTTCAAAGTCATTATCAAGAGAATCCATTGCAGTGTATTTTCAACGTCATAGCAGCCTATTATTTACTACTGAAATTATTAAACATATTTACAAACAATTGAATATTGTACTTAATACAATAGTACTTTTTTAAAATAAGAAAGCATATAGCTGCCAATTTTTGCAAGGAAGATATTTTCTGCTTAACTAAATTCCGCCACTACAGCAGAAATTGATTTATTTTTGCTTTTGTAAACACATAATAATCAGATTATTAATTTGTTTTATTAACTTATATATTCTGAAGGTTAAAATCCTTTCAAAACTCTTTCATAACCAAAGAATCAAAAAAAATATTAAAATTTTTACTGGGAAATGTTTTTTTATTTATTTATTTTTTTTTTGAAAAAGAAGAAAAAAAGTGATAATTGTCGGGGAAAAAACTTAGCTTTATTTAACATTTAAAATTTATACACAGTTGTTTTCAATATTTTATTAGCGTGAAATTAAAAATATTAAAACAGTTTATATGATACGCTTTAAATTTTAATTGATACGCTTTCTTAATTTTTTTTTTNATTTTTTTTTTTTTTTTTT